ACACACACACACACACACACACACACACACACATATATATATATATCTAAATAATAATTTCTAAAACGAACCGTTTAGTTTTACGAATTTACCTCACGTGATTTTTATATCTTATTATGTATGTTTTTTTTTTTTTACTTAATATTGTACTTCGCTGTACGCGTTCAAATATAACACGGCTTACATCTTTGTTACAACGAAGTTCAATGCTTTTGTCGGTGAATTCGACTTTTAACGAATTGAATTCGACATTTCCATTTACAAATATTAATTTCGATTAAAAAACACGTTATATTATTAATTTATTTAATTTGATTTCAATGTTACGTTGGAGTTACACGCATTTATTGATCGTTATTTATTCTCGGTGTATACTTTGGAATAATTAATCAACGGATCTAATCGAATTCGCTGAAGTTGTACAATAAGAATGCATAATCATATTAATTTATTCCGCTGACTGAGAAACTAATTCAAATTGTTTTCTAAACGTAAATATTAACCATTTCTGTTATTTATGTCGCCGTTATAAATCGTTAAATTGATTTGTATGCTAATAATATACGGTTTCTTCGCTGCTCCGAACGTCATCTGTTCCGAATAAATACAAACGTAAAATATTTTTTGAAAGCTGTATATATAATTATTATTCATTTTTTTCCCGACCAAAAATGTGTAATTAGTTAATGCGCGTTATGCAAAACGTTTTACCAACTCGAACACACGGACAAACGAAGCATTCATTCGCGTTTTGATTATATTCAATCGGATTATTTTTAGTTTCATTAAAACCCATATAATCCTGTTCCGCAAAAAAAAAAAAAAAACGTGCGTTCGTAAATTTTCCCTTTTGTGTCCGATAATTGTACCAGATTTTTTTTCCGCGTCATAACAGTTCACCGTTATGTTTTTCCCCTTGCGCACCAGTATTGTACACGGAAAAAATAAAAACTAACAAATACAATAGTAAAAATAACACACGGCACAACGCGAATCATAATAACGTGTATAGGAGAAAGCGAATGTACGAATTTTGTTTCTTTTCGTCGAGTTGGTTCGCGGGAAACGGGTCGAATCCGTATTTCGTTACCTCCGAGTTCGTTTACAGTCTTAAACGTACATATGTATAAATATATTCGTGAGCTGAGTTTTTGCTATTTTATCGTAACGCAGCGGACACGGCTGTTGTATGTATTCATTATATTTTATATAATTACGGTCTAACGTGCGCGTGTGCATTATGTTTTCGGGTAAAAAAGCGCAGAGCATTGTATAAAAGCGTTTATTACGTTATCAAATAATCTCTTGCAGTTAAAAACGAAAATAATTTATATAAATTATGCGTTTTAAAGTTTACGCGAAACGCGAAAAGGATTTTAAACTTTAAGTAGTAGTTGCGGGCCACGACCAGGGGAAATCAACGCGCGAAAACTTTTTTGATCCCGACCGAAACGTGACGGTTAACCGCTCCTTCGTCCCCCTGAATATTGTTCGCGAGTAATGCACCGCACGACGTGGTCCGCGCCTGCCGCCCGTCCGTCCGCGGTCGCCGTTTTGCCGTATTATTTCTCAAAAGTGTAACCCGGCCGGTTTCGGGCGGAAAACCCATTTCGGCGCCATTAAGCGAAACATTTGAATAAATAATTAATGTAAGAGTGCGAACGCCGATGCCGCACCGGAGCCCTCGGAAAAAAGAACCCGGTATACATATTCAGTAGTTTTTTTCCCGAGACGAGCACACCATGTACATGCAATGCCAGATTTTGAGAGGGACACGGGGGGGGCCCGGGCCTCGGGCCTCCGCTGAATGTGTTTTTTTTGCGTTCTAGTATATAGCACAATATAACAAAATAGATTTAAATCAAAAACTTGAATAAAAATGTTCAATCGTCGATATTGTCATACATTTATAAACAAATGATATTATTAATATTTAATAACTAATAATATGTTTATATATTATACTTGCGTAAAAATTAGTAGCGAGCTTACAAGTATAAATTTAAATTGATTTACCTGACTAAAACTTTGAATATTTGGAATTATTGTTATTAAATATGTGTAATCGAAAAAAAATTTATTTTCAAGGGTGAACCCAGGGCCCCTAAATCCGGCCCTGTGTATATGCATGTTAGAAAGAAAGAAAAAACCGAAGCAGAGGTTTTGGGTGGTTGCAAAAGCGAAGTAAGTATAATCGTGAAAAGCTGTTATCTGAACTACGATTGAACCAACCTGAAGACCATCGACATTTTTTAAGGACGAACGTGCTACGATGAACTTTTAACTTTAGTTATTCCATTAATAAAAAAAAAAAAAAAAAAAAAACAAGATACAATAATGCACAACACTATTGATAGCGGGTCAATAAAAATCAAATATTTTGAACCTGTTCAATATATCGATCAATCGTGCCAATACTGCCAATACACAATATCAAATATATATCAATATTATTGACCGTGCATGGACCGCTTTCGAAGCTTACATCGCACTACGTTTGAACTGCTGAACGCGAATTCGCTATGCTGTACTCGTACGTGCGACGAAGACAACACGTGCGGGTGTGCCGTACCCACTCAAATTCATTATAAAATTCATAAAATTCAAAATGTAACTTGCCTATGCCGCCGTTCCGCTTCGGAAGATCTATTTGATGTTTTTCACGCGAACAAAATATTCCATTCACATGTACGGTGGTACTGGATGCTTTGTATTTCCTGTTGAACGCATCAAAGTGAAATTGATTAACCGTCTGTTTTCCTTTTATTATTTTTGTTTGAAATGTATTAATTTTCAACGATTCACGATTGAAACGAAGAAATAATAATGGTACGTTTATTATAACTATGTAAATACCCCCCCCCCCCGTTTAATAAACAATATTTGTTTACGTTTATACTATATTTTTTTAATCTTCAAAATTAGATTTATTCAAATGCGTTCTATAATAAGCATTCACGTCTTTCTAAGGATTTTCCAACCGAGTGAGAACATTTTTAAACTACGTTTGTTATAATATGAAAGTCAGTGTGGAATTAGAAACAATTGTTTAAACAAATAATTATAATAAAAATAAACAATATACGTTTATCATTATTATTATAATTGTTTGTATAATGCGTACGTTTCGTTTTGATTGCATAATTTTAAATTAAATATAAGGCTGAATTGTTGTTATTTAGGGACTTTTTTCGTATATCTAATTTTCCCTTTTAATTGTAAATAAGAATTTTTCGGGACACGAATAAAACATAGGGAGAATAATTATAATTGAATATCGCACAACATACAATCGAACACAAAGTATCATATACTTCGCTTCACTCGGAAATCTAAAAAAATAATTATCTTTTCCAACACGGATGTACGTAAAATATAGAAATACGTCCGTAAGATAAATCTCGCAGTCTGCATAGAACAGTGATTCTCATCCTATTCTCGTTCATGTCACATTTAGCCATTAGAATAATACAACGCGTCACCCTAACATCAAAATAATAAATAATCTTAACTGCGTATTTTAGAATAATTTATAAATAACAAAAAAAATAAAAAAGAAGTACAGTAAACAGGATAATAAAAAGTTCACCTACAATTAATTTGTGTTGCAGGGTTCAATAAACATTGTCAGTTAAACATTTTTAATTTGCAAATTAAAAAAAAATAATAATAATTTGTATAAAAACTGTTGAGAAATTGGGCTCTGGTGGTTTTTACAAAGTTGAGGAAGTCGAGGGCTGATGGTGGAAATACTGAAACTCATTATCTTCTAGAGTTGCAGAAATATAATATACTATTTCAATATATAAATATATATACAATAGATTTCGTGCCACCCCTGCTATGCGTCCATGACACCCTTGGGTGACATGTTACCCCGGTTAAGAACCACTTGACTAGGGTTTACAAATTATAGAGCCGAAATAATTTTTCCATAGGTATTTCAACATGGTTACATTTTTGATTTTCTCAGTAGTATTATTAAAAACTTAGAAAACCCTTAATTTGTTTAAAAAGCTATTCAAATATTTTATTTATTTATTTTATTTAAGGAATTAGTCGTTAAAGCTTTTCCTGTCTTGTGAAACGTTTTGAAATGCATAAGACGGAAACATGTAGTATAATGACTGCCAACATTCTGGACATTGCATGAATTAGTAATGATCAGTGGCATGAGATTTTTATGTAAAGCTATTTACTTATCATACATGCACATTATGCCACGCATTATACAATTATTTCCAAACGCTGTTTTATTTGTATTATTATTTTATAAAAAAGTTGAATGTCTTATATTTCAAGCTATTTGTACGCGAAACCATCTAAAATATAGGTTATTAACGATTTCAAACTAATGTCGTTTGCTCAGTATTAAATAAAATAAAATAACTTTACATTTTAAGCACATTTAAGATACAAGAAATAAACTTGTTCTCTAACATTAAAACGATTAAACGATTGAATCGAGATTATTCCTTAAAACCTTTATAGTCCGTGAAATAATTAAACGAATTTAATATCCTAACCCTAAAATGTACCTTTTGATATATTAGCCGGCTAAAATGAGTAATTACTCTATGAACGGCTCGAATGTTTGTATCCAATACGGTTAACACTCTTCTTAGATACATCAAATAGGTACAACACACTCCTGAATTTAATACGGATATTGTTAGTTTACAGCCGTCCGAATTTGCGAATTCAACACAAAATAGTATTATCGTTTATCGAATCGGTCTTTGATAATAATATACTTGTTTTTCGTGATCAAAAAAATGTATGCGTGAACATACGATTTTGTAAAGTTATAAGTTATTTAATTAACTATTACCTATAGCTATGGCTTACGGTCAATGAAGAAACCATTTCGCAGTTCAACAATACTTGGTATATCCATTCTATTGTTCAGTGATTCTAGTCAACATTTGGTCTGATCATTTTTATGGATGTGTTGCATCTTTTAAACCATCATTTTCATCAATGATAATTTGATTTCAGTCCTACAAAAGACAGTCAACCACAGATTACAGTTGAAAGGTATTATTTAATTTATTTCATTGTTTCCTAGTAAAATTTATATATTTTTTAAATTGTTTTAACGATAAATTTTACTCAGACCTATGGTTTTACATGATATTATTTTAAAACTAGATATTTTATCACACGAATAAAATAATTTTATTAGACCAGTTGGTTTTACACTAAGATTTGTTTAATTTATTCAATAGTAAGGTTTTGCCTCCAAAGTCGTTTTATATTCGTCCATCTACTGTAAAAAGAAATTGAACAGAATTTAATTTATAAATATTTATATTAAGGTTACCAAATAATATTTCTTCTCGAAACTATAATTATATAATTAAATTAATAATAAGTAACTAGTAATTATTTTTAAACTAACATTTTTTCCCCTCAAGTGTTGGTATTACCTATCACCTAAATTTGTGGCTAATGAATAGTAATTATATAATTTAAATATGGATTCCCTGTATCGATTTATGTTACTTATAAAAAAATGTTATTTTCAGAAATATTTGTTTTTTCATTTAATGACAACAATGGAAGCTAGTTGTGAACCAGTTGTAAGTATTGAATATTATATAATTTAATTATTTAAAATTTGATGTAATTGTTAATAATATTAATCTTATGTATAACAATAATTGAATCTTACTAAAAATGAGTATTGTATGTCTATAAATAAATGTCTATGTTTATAAAATAATATTTATTATACTGTTGAATAAACTTTTCTTAAGATGTGTTTCATTTTATTTATTGAATCTTATATTTGGAAAATATTTAAAATTATTATTTTAAACTTCTTTTACTTTAGGAAATATTTAATTTGGTACAATCAATTGTCCAAGATATAAATATTAAAAATTTTAAGAATATGGCAGATCAAATTGTTTCTATATCAATTAAAACAGTTGATATTTTTGAAAAAATGGTGGATATAATTTATGCTGGGGTATGTAAATATTATCAAAAATTATAATAATTATTACATTTTTTTTTTGTTTTTCTTAACTTATCCAGGCATTTAATAAACCCAATTTCATAACTTTATACGCAAATTTATGTGCACACATGATTAATTATGCTACATTTAATGAACTACACAACACTGAAACTACTTTTCAGTTAATTTTAGCACAGAAATGCTTTGAGGGCTGTACCTCACACTATACTTCTCAGGAAGAAGTATCAAAATTAAAAGAAAATTTTAAGAACAGTAATATGGTAATTAATAATATTTTTTTAATATAATAATTGTATTTTTTTGATTATACTATTTTATATAATATTATCTTTATTTCTTACAAATATTAATCTTAAGCAACTTCAAACTTAAGAAGAATCTCAGTATTGAAACTTGCATAATCCATTTTTCTTTGTAAATAAATAAATTTGTATCATTTTAAAGACTTATTCATATATAATATTATTTACCCAAATATATATTAACATATACATAATCATCAATAGTAGCTAATATGTAAACCGACCTATATAGGATTACTCAACGAAACTTCTCATACTTAACCATTATAATTTGCCTCTAACTAAAACCATACTATAGTCAAATACATTGTCCACCAATTGATTATATATATTTTTTTAATTTGATTTTCAAAAAATATAACTCTTTGATGTCTGTTATAGACACCATCTATTTTCAAGAACAGATTGAATACTATTCATTTCCAATACTATAATAGTTCTTTAACCCATTGCAAGTATGTTTTAAAGTAAAATTAATTAATTATTTGTATATCTTGTACGAAGTAATATTCTTTTATAGATTTATTGGTGAATTATTCAAACAAGGGGCTTTAACCGAAAAAAATATATTGGCTTGCATTGAGGAATTAATGAAAGTAAAAGATGATCTGAATATTCATTGTTTATGTACAATATTACAAATAGGAGGATCAAAACTATCAAAAGTAATAACCAAATTAGTAAAGTATTAGGAAATTATAAAACAACTAGCCTCTTATTTTCTATTTTTATTATTATAATTAATTATAATTATATATATTTTTTAGAATCATAATTTGGACAATATAGTATCTTATATTTTATCATTCAAAATCGAAAACTCTGTCCTCATAAAAATTTCACCAACTCTAGAGTCTTCGATATTCAAAATACAATCCTTGCATTTTAAAGGTTGGATAAATGAAGGTAATAATGTCAATTTTCAAATTATACAGTATAAATATTATTATTTATTAGAAAAAATGTAGAATTAAGTTACTATATTATACATTTATTTTAACAAGTTGTTTTAAGATTTACTAATGTTTTATAATATGTCGTGTATAATTACAATTTTATTTTTGTTATAATTTATTTAAAAATTTAAGTTAAAAAAAAAAATGTTTATCATTTATATAAAGTTGTAACATTATTTTCAAATCGTCTATTAGAAAATAAGATAAAATTAGATTATTTTGTAATTTTGTATTAGTATAAACTTTTATATAGCAATAAATAATTGCTTTTTGAAATTCCTTTAAAAAAGTTATCGGTTCACAATAATGATCCCTTCAAGTCTTCATAACAAAGACATCAAAATCGTATTTTTATTAAATAAAATAAATAATATATAAAATACATGATATCTTCTGAACAGTTTTATGTAATTTAATTTATTTTTGATTGAATCTAAATAACATAATTTATGAACTATTTAAAATACCATAAATTTTTATGATGATTATATATATTTTTTACAGAAGCTGTTAAGTTAATTGAGAGCAATGAGAACCATAGTTTATTTGAAAAGTTGCCAGAGGAATCAAAAAAATCATATGAATTAAAATCACATACTGTAATGGCCCAGTGTATTATTGATGAATGTATTGTTGTTCTTAATAGTTTTGACGAGAAAAATGAAAGAAGTATCAAGGTTGGTTAACTTTTTCTTTTTTTTTTTTGATAATTAAACTGTTTTTTAATATCTTAAAATGTATAATTATTTAACCATCTTATTTAATAATATTTACAGGAAATTGTACGTAAGTTGAATAATACCAACTCATGGATAAAATATGATCAAGTATCATTCGTTGCTTCTTTGATACTTATAACACTAAATGAAAGTCAAAGTATTCGCTATAAGGCTGGTATACTTTTAAACAAACTTGTTACGGAACGATTGTTATCAAGGGATTCGGTTTCTTCGGGGTAAATATAATAATATAAATTTTCTGTATTTCACATTTTATTAATTATTATTTTATTTTTTTTTCATATTTTAGAATTTACAAAGTAATGAATGACTCAGAATTGAAGATTGAACTTCCAAAATTATCAGATTTATTGTTTGACATCGCTAGCAGACATATAAATACATATCTTACATATATTTCATATTTTAAAAAGAATGCAGTTTAATATTGTTTAACTTGATTTTTACTTAAATTATTTTTCAAATATTGGTCTTTTCCAAGATTCATATTTTAAAAAGAATGCAGCTTAATATTGTTTAACTTGATTTATACTGTTTTATATTCTATATTCAAATTGTTTTTTACTTTAATTGTTTATTCAATTAGTGGTTTTGTCCAAGATTTTTCTTTATATTATTATACAATTTTTGTTTGTTAAAATGTGAAATAAATTATTATTATTTAATAATGCATATCTTAGTCATTATTGATCTTTATTTATTTCTTTTTTTTATATTATTGTGTCTCATCACTTATCATACATATATATTAAAAATTCATAGCAAAAACGAAAGTTACTGCGTCCCTCATAAATTTTCAACAATTATACGTGCCAATTTTAGGTTCTTACTTATGTCCCCTTGTTAACAGCGATTTTGCAAGTCAAAATACTGCACCTATTTATCGGATCTAAATAATATAAAGACAAAAACTTAAAGGTTTGCTATTTAAATGATAGTTGTGGCAATAATATGATATTATTAAAATTATTTATTATTTAAATTTTTTTTCTTTTCCCTTGGAAACATTGTTCATCCTTATACTTCGTCCATGTCACCTTTGGGTTATATGTCACCCTTGGGTGATATGTCACCCAGGTTGAGAACCACTGGTATAAGCGTATCGCATCTGCATGTGTAAACGCGCGTTCTAGTGTAGCATATTTTACATACATCATTCTTATATTATTCTTCCATCGACCGTTTATTGAAACTCAGTCAATGTTGGGAAAGATAACCAATAATTTTATCTAGAATAAAGATAAACTTTCAGTTACTTAAACGAAATAAAAAGATAAATCATAATTATTTGAAATATAATTCTTAGCTTTTTTTTAATAATTAATTTATGCCTTAGGATTCAATAGAATATTTTTATTTTCTTACGAGTGAATACAGTGGCGTAGATACAATTTTTTTCTGGTGAGGGGGGGGTGTTTAAGAGTAAGTTTTTATGCATTCTTAGTATATCTTAAAACGATGTCATGTGTAATAATATTACATTTAAAATGGTATTATTATTATGTCCCGTATTTAATGAAAATTATTTTGTTACTAAGTTTTTAATATATACCTAATCATAGTAAAATCAAAATATTTTACTATAATATGTAAATATTAATAAATAATAATCAAATATCATTAAAAATAATCTGTGGGGGGTGGAAACCCCTTACACATTCCCCGTAACTACGCCACTAAGTGAATAGGTACATCCTATAATTTAATTCGTCTATTTGTTACGTTCACTACTTTTTCTGTCCCCCGAAATAATAATTTTAATATAGAAATAAGAATAAGCATACATCAGCTTACACTTTATAATTTTAACGAATTTAATTTTCTGGTTAATATTAGTCGGTTTTCCAACAGTTGACTGAAGAACATAGACTGTTATCGAATTTTAATAATATTAATTTTAAATTAAATTATTGCTATTACTACCTTGTCACAGCTTACATAATTTCAATTACTTTTCCATCATTAAAACGATTATGAATTTAATATAGACAAGAGTGGGTAAATAAAATTATTTTTTTAATAAACCCAAAAAATAAATAAACCACCAGTTTGCTGAATTTAATATGTATTATCTATTAACAAAAAATCTCAAATAGATTAATATATGATAAAATATTCCTGCTTTATCTAGATAAAAGATAATATCCACGTTATCTATATTATATTTTAGATAATTTTATCTAGAGATTTCTAACACTAAACGTGGTATAGCGAACAGGTGGAGATGAATTTCTTGAACAGGGGTCGCCAACCTTTTCAAACAAGTGAGGTACATTTGAAAATTTAATTCCCTGGTAAGCGACATTCAGGAGAATTTAAGCCTTAGGAAGAGATCTGTTTGCAAAAAAAAAAAAAAATAGTCTAAAGAATAATTATTTATTGTTTTTTCATAATAATTATAATTTAATTATAATCACATTATCCGATTATTGATCATGCAATCCATTGATAGTGGTAAAATTAATTTTTAACGATTGACCTATATTCCTAAAAATATCGACTGATTGGCGATCCCTATTTTAGACCCTTTGTTTTCGTGTACGACAAAAGAGCATCGTTTTATTAACAGGTACCATAAGTGCATTTTTACACAGTTCAATATTAAAATTATACAGAAAAAAAAAATTGTTTAATTTCTGTCTACGATTTTTCAGACATATTAAATTCCCGATTTTCCGTGTTATTATTCTTAGAAATTATCACTATAATACAGCGTTTTTTAAACTTTTTTATCCGTAGAACCCTTTTTGATGCCCACATTTATCGTGGAACCCCTATATTTTTTTTTTACCTTTTAAAGAATGAATTTTCTTAGTTAGTTAAGAGTTCAGTGTAGCCATTTAAATATTTTATTATTTAAATAACAAAATAATAATAATAAAAAGTTAATACTTAATATTACTTTTGTATTCAATTGGGTATATTTCGAATTTTCTTTATTGAAAAATAAAATTCCCAATATTACCATAAAAAGTAATATATCGATAATTTACTCAAGTTAGTTACCTAGAAATAAATTACTGGTAATTTTACAACACTAGTAGTACTGTAGTGTATTCCGATACGTATTTCAGAACGTTTACACATATACTTCAAGCCAAACGAGTAGGTTTAATGGAAATACACCTTAACGAGATATTTGCAATATTCCTCACAATTTATAATAATAATATGAATTGCATACGTGTACAGTGATGATCTGATTATGTTATTCTTTTATTCGTTATCTAAAGACGGAATTACTATAATATAATATGCACTATGAAGTTCACATACAAACTACAACACACACCAAGACGCGTCCTTTGCTCTTCAAACAGCATTCATACACAAACCATATATTACACTGTATATTTATATATATATTATACTTTATATTACGGTCCTACAGTAGGGTGACCATATTTCAAAAATAAAATACAGGGCAAAAATATTATCCATAATATTTATAAGTTAATAAGATTAAAATGAAACACATAAAAACATATTGAAAAATATAAAATAACATAATTAAATTAAATTACTACTTTTTAAAATTTCCTTAAGTCTTTTTTTTCGTGTATATTTTAATTTTAAAAAAAAACATGTTAATTCAATTTGATAACGATTGTTCTGACATTTCTTCACTATATGATGTTTTGATTGATTTCCGATAAGATAACGTTCGTGCATGACATGAAGCTATTATTGGGTCAATTAGGGCTATGGTTCTAATGATTCTATACATGGAATAATAAAATATTTATTCATTACTCAACACACACACATTTGATAACGAACTGGTCGCGTCGGACACTAAATTTAACTACTATAAATATACATATAATACTATAATAGTAAATATAGTACGGTATAGTATAGTAAAGTATATGTATAGTACGGTTTACGTCAATAATGTTATACAAAAATAAAGTAGAAAAACAATTTTTTTATGAAATGAACTTCAAGTATTATAAATTAATAGTAAGTAAGCCAAAAAACGGGATTAATGTGGTACAAAATTGGAATACAGAAATACAGAAAGGACGACAAAACACGTTTTGAGAGAAGTTTGTCAGTACAACAGGACATAAAGCCGAAATAAAGGAAAATCCTGTAGAAAGCAGGACGTATGGTTACCCTATTCCGCAGTATTATGTTAAGTATATCATGTACAAGGGTAAGTGTAGAAAGGTATAGTTTATCACTTCTCGAAAATAACGATTTTATTCAATGTAATTTTTTTTCTCTTATTTATTTATTTTTTTTTTTTATTCAATTTTACCCGGATAACTTTGCACTATATATGTTCGTAAAAATACGTGATCGAAATTTTACTTAAAACTTGTTTTCAACATTCTATGAGGGTCGACAAGTTGTAGAAGGGCCGGTCCGCTAGTCTCAGTTCATACTCAGTGTCAAGTTAAATCGTATTTCACACACACATATATACGCAATTACCTAGCTCAGCTCGGTGAGCGCACGTATTATCAATTGAAACTTTCCCCGTGCATTATCTATAATTAAAAAAAATACAAATAAAAACTATTCGATGTTGTCTTCACACACGAACTAATACGAATGAAATTCGCCGAACATTTCGTTTTCAAATATAAACATCAGTCACGAGAAAAAACGCACACGAGCCACACGGTGTCTTTGTGTATGTAATACACCGGCTGCAATTTTGTATTGAAACGATCCGTTGTTCAACAGTAAGTGTCTTAAGGCGGCTGGATCATGATCAATTTTCGTTCGAAAATACAGCTTACGACTTCAAGTACTTCAATACTCTCAGTGAGAAAATCCTATGTTAATTTTGAAAACAGATTTGGATTATTCATCTATTATATGAATTCAACGATCTCACACGGTTGTGTGGAAGCGGATAATCAAACCTAGCGCGTATCCCGTAACCCAAGTGTCAAGTGTCCGACACATCTCGAGGGCACATACCCGTGTAACGATGCACAGTGCACATAGGCGCAACTAGGGGGGGCGCAATAGGGTTTTTATCACCTCTGAGTTCAAATGTAGCATTCCTGTTTTTTTTCAGATCTATATAATCTATAGTAATTACAGTTAAACACCATTTTATTTTATTTTCAGAAATTTCAGCAACCTCAATATTTGGGCTCTATTTGCACCCATGACAGTGCAATCCTGTGTACCGGTTTGTAATGACGTGTATAGTTTTCGGAGCAACGCGCAACATATGTTGAACTATATCGTAAAATTATTGTTAAGAACGACAAGATCGATCGGAACAAAGTCGTTAGTTACAAATTATTGGATCAATCTTGTTGTTAGCGTTTAACAAAAAATGAGTCTTACGATAAAAAAAAAACCCAACTTAATTAGGTAACATCATTTTTTGTGATCCTGCATTGGATTTAAAAACTTTATGTGTACATAAAAAAACATTTTGACA